CCGATATGGAGCAACGATTGATGGGGAGGGTCGACGACTTATCCTACGATGTTACACTAATACGTGGCCACGTCGTATCCTTCTAGGATGAGGTCGTAGCACTCTGAGGTGATATTGTGGGTAGGCGATGGATTGGCAAAGAGGGTGATGGAGAGGATGGCGGAGAGGGGGGTTACCCACAGTTTTGGACAGACGATGCATTAGAATCATTTCTATTATCTGTGGAGTGAGATCGGGTGGCCCCAATGGACACGGGAGAGGCGTCGGTAGAGGAGAGGGTGATGGAGGAGATGGGCTCGATGGGGACGAGAGAGCCGGTCGGGGAGGAGGAGAGGGTGACGGAGGCAGTGGACTCGATGGGGACGAGAGAGCCAGCTGAGGAGGAGGAGGGGATGATGGAGGCGGTGGCTCGATGGGGACGGGAGAGTCGACTGAGGAGGAGGAGGTGATGATCAACGAGGGTAAGAAGCGTGCTGTTAACGTGACGGAGCAGGCGAACGGCAAGAGGTCGAGATTGTTGTCGCAATATGTCGTTTTTCTCTTCACGGTCGAGACGAAGAGGAGGAGGTTCGTCGATGGGACGATTTCCAACCTATTTCAAGAGGTGGACCATGCCAAATGGAAAGCGTTTAGATGGAGTGGAGAAGAATTTTGCATGGGTAAGTATTCATGATATTAGTAAAGTACGCTACGTTACTCGTATACGCTTGTTTAACATTTTTATGTTTCTTTTGTCAGGACCAGCCACACGATCGGTTAAACGACCGTCTCCGATACTTATAAGTGATTTCACAACATCATCACTCGAGGAGCTTGGCTTGCCGACGATATAAGTGAAGTAGTCATATTGTTAATTTTTATGTGTCTATAATTTTTTGTTTATGCAATGAAATAACTCCTTTTTGTACTGGTATTTCTTAATGTAGCACATTGACCTAGTCATGGACTTATCGTGTGATCGGGTTCAAAGATATCCGAGGTCATTTGACAGTCCTGGTCGAGTCATATTGAATTTGGAGTTCAATCGAAGCATTGACATTGAGTACCAGTCGCTGTAACGTGCCAGTACAGAGTACGTGGTGCCCGACTATATGCTCGAGTGGACCATAGGGATGTGGCCACGTGTTGGGGAGAATCCATGGGAGGGTTGTATGCATATGTACATGCTAGTGATCTTGAATCGGCACTGCATAGTTTTGGAGATTGTGTTTGCTGAGTCTACTTTATATGTGTACGACCCCGATCATTCATGTCTGACACAGAGTCAACTTGAGCAAAATCTGGAGTCCACCGCTATTTTAGCCCTATGATGGCTAGATAGGCGGGCTTGACTGTGAACGACAGATTAGCCATCGTGCGGGACACGATTACGGCGAGGCAGACAATATCGTAAATGATTCTACATTTTTTTAAATTTTATACTTACTTTTTTCTGTACGGTAAAGATCTGACTCATTATTGTTCAATTGCAGAGGTGATTGCGGCATGTTTGCAATAAAGTATATTGAGTGTTTGAGTATAGGACATAAGGTTGATGAAATCAACCAATCTTGGATGCAAATTTGGAAAAATAAGTTAGCGTTCGATTTGTACGACTTTAGTTGTGATCCGTAAATATTGTAAATATTTGATTTTTTTAATTACGAAATGTTTTTAAACACAATGAATATTGATTTGTACCTTGTGAATGAATGTAATTGTATATTATTTTCTGTATTTAAATGCTTCATCTACGATATTAATAATCTATGAATATTATTTATTTAAGTAAATAATAATTGATTAAATAAATTATAAACAATTAGTTTCATACATGGTGAATTTTAATTACACAATTATTATTCATAACCAACTAAAAATAAATATTACATAAATAAATTGTGTTACACATATGTTGCATTGTTATGCAGTGGAATCTAGCTTGTAAAAAATTGTCGTGTATGCCTGGTTGCACCACACCTACCGCACTTACGAGGTCGGAAAAATTCTCCAGTACGTACATCTAGGTCCAAAGGGTATGTGGTCCGACTTTTGGTGGCAAAAAATTATTCAGTGACAAAATGTGGTCCGAAACTTCCCACTCGACTTCGTTTGGTACAAGGAATATTGTTTTGGCATACGATGCTCTCCAATAATCAGTCATATAATAAATACTGCACAAGGTGTGGTGGGAATCCTCTACACATAGCCACTGCCACTGCATCTACACATGGAAAGCTCTCTAACTAAAATTGTCTACACGTGCCCATTCAAGACCACAATGTATCCAAAATTACGTGCACATCTCACAAAGAAGAAAAACTGATCTAGTGGTTCTACGCATACCTTTCTCCCCACATCTAGAGTCTTGAAGAGTTTATCTTCAAGAGTCGGATTTAGCACACTTGTGCAACTCTGTGATTCGTCACGTCGATCATTAAACTGCTGTTGAAGCTTATCACGAATGTTCTCAATCATTGCGATAATTGGTAACTCTCGATCCTTCTTAAATAAGGCATTAAGCGACTCCACATTGTTCGACATCATCATGTTGTATCGACGTCCTGGAAAATGTGATCTTGGCCAATGTTCGATCCCCATGCCTATTAGATACTCTCATGCAGCATGTGATTTATTGTTTATTTCGACCATGAACGTCTCAAACTTTTCAAATCTGTAAGCCTTTGCAGCTCTCCTGAACAATGCAACGATGCTCTTACCTCGATAAATGGTCTTCAGGTTTCCCTATATATGGAACATACAATAACCATGATGTGCCTCAGGGAAGACTTCGGCAATACCATTTATTATTGACTGCCCTCGGTCGGTTATGAATGCAAGGTTCTTAATGTCCCCAATTACTTCCTTCAATTTCGTGAAGAACCAATGCATCGCTCAGTCATTCTCTCCATTGATTATGTCGAATGTAAGAGGGTAAATTTGGATGTTGACATCTTGACATGTTGCAATAATCAACTTGTCATCGTATCTAGCCTTAAGGATTGTATCGTCAACTAGAATTAGATGTCACGTCGCTTTTCGAAATCCTCAAACGCATTGTCCAAGGACCATGAAGAAATACTTGAAGTGATTCTCATCGTTCCTCTCAATAAAAAAAGTCTATCCAATATTAGTTTTCCCTATGTTATAGCAATATTAGCAAATATAAATAAACAATAATCAAAATAAGTAATCGAATATTAAATAAACAAAAAAGGAAATTGAAATATATAATTAACAATTAAAATAAATATTAAAAAATCAACTAAACAATAGAATATCTGGTCAATTTAGCATAACTCTCCTCGACCGAACCCATTAAGTCCGCCAATGCGCATTCTTTGGCCTTCCAAGCCTTCTGATAGCTCATGATCACCCCGTACTCTCGACGGACATCATTAATGATGTCCGAAGTTCTGTAGATCGTTCGTGGGTCCTGAAACTTGTGTATTATTTCTCGACCAATGAACCATGCTCGGGCTTGCCTGTGATCATTTCGACGAATACCCACTTCACAAATATATTCCCGTGCATACTTACGAATTACAAAGAACTCGTTTATGTCCATCTTCGTCACTCGCAAACGCCAGTGACAACTTTCGTCAATGCAGACAATTGTGTACGTTGACTTGTTCGATTTCTTAACTTTAAACTCGAAGTTGTGTTTCAAAACAATCTAGTGCATAGTTTCTTGCAAATCTTTCTTTGTTTCAAACAGTTGCTCGACATATAAATCTTCGTCTTCGGTAACTAACCGTGAACAATTAGTGGACCCTGTACTCGGTCCAGTCTATAAGCTCTCACCCGACTCACGTCTCCGGAGGGATAGAGCATTCAAATCCTCATTTGTGAATGTATTTTCATCCTGGTTGTCTTCAACTGTTGAAAGAATTCTGTGCGTAACAGTGAGATTATTCACTATATCGAGAACAATTGTATTGGGAATAACCATATCGTCCTCATTAGCCATTTTCATTGTATCCCAAAAATCATTCACATTACGATCTACTCCATCGAGATCTTCATGCTCACCCTCGGGGACGTTCTTCTCCACCAAAGTTACACAAATAGGAATTGAACGTTTCTGATTTAATTCAATTAAAATCTGCATTTCAGTTTCATAAGTAATCGTTACAGGTGAAATTTTCTTGTCGAATAAAAATCCCAATTTCATGTTGAATTGAGAGGGATCGACGTTGAACAAGTTCTGTAACTCATTGTACATTTCCGCATACAATGTACTTGATATTATCAGAACTGTAGTAGAACCGCGTCTTTCACTCGTCCATTTCAATACCTATCGATCATTTTTCTTCATTTCAAATTCACCAAAAAAAAAAGGGACGGCAGCGAATGCCATATCTGCATTAGGAAACGACGATTTATTAAAAAAAGTGTTAATACATGGAAAAAAGAAGTAAAAAATTGAAAACAACCGGCTGTTAACTAGTTGTTTTCTTAACAACTGGTGTTGATTTCGTTTTTCGATTTTTTAAATGAATTTTTTTCATCGTTCTTATTAAAAAAAAATTATATATCCATTTAAGATTGTAAAAATTTATCTATCTATGTCGAAATAAGATTTAGAGATTAAAACAATGTACTTATTTAGTTATAATAAAATTAAAAATACGTAAAATATACTTACCAATTTCGAGTGCTGGTTGTGAGTAATATTTTCTTGTTGAGCTTTTGATAATTTTGTGAGATTCCAATGTTGAAGCAGATGAAAATCGAACTTTCTTTTTATTTGTGTGTTACAGAAACTGATGAGAAAACTGATTTGATTTTGAAATTTGCATGGGAGTATTCGTAATTTATTTGTTATTTACCAAGGAGTACCATTGTCTGTTTAACAATCATATATTTTTGTAAATACAAAACATAAAAAAGGTAAAATTGTCATTTACATTTTAAAGCGCATCATCGTGATTGTGAAAAATGAACTGATGATTGTGAAAAATGAACTTGGTCAATGTGACAAAGTGTTTATTTAACTTGGTTAGTCTTAAAATTACCCGATATTAACCTAATACTAATTTCTGTGTTGTTTTATTCTTCATACGGATTTTTGAATCCGAAAAATATTTTAGTGGTTCAACTAACTTCGTTTTTACGGTCGAATTAACGAATACAGAGAGTTCGTAATCAAAATGGAGTGCGTTGTTCAGGGTATTATAGAGACTCAGGTAAATTTCTATCCTCCCAATCGTGGTTGGGAATTTTTTTTTTTTTTTTTTTTTTTTTGAGATCCATGTTAATTTATTTAATATTGAATTTTCTGAGTAAAAACGAAATATAAAAGTTGATCTTTGGGTTTATTATTTGTTTCCTTACCTTGATTTGCTCTGAGGGCTAGGGTTGGTGCCTTCTGTTGTTCCAAGTTCAGAGCATTTTGCTTGAGTTCAAATTTATGAAAATATTTTCTTTGTTGATTTTTTTATTATTTTTACCATTTTTTTTCTGAATAAAGTGACTCCGATTATTTTCTGAGTGCCAAATGCACAACCCATGACTCTGGTGTCCACCAGACCACCACCATCACCGTGTCTACTGGGAAAAAGAAAATTTTAGTTTGTCATTTGTTATAAATAGGAAAATGTTCTAATTATATCATGTTGTCATGCAGCACGTTGAGGCCTTGGAGATCCTTCTTCAAGGACTTTGTGGAGTTCATAGAGAGCGCTTAAGGATCCATGAATTATGCCTTAAAAGTGGTCCAAATCTAGGTAATTGATTTATTTTAATTTTTAGTTAGGCCTAAGTGATTAGAATTGTGTTTGAGTAAAATGTCTTCCTCTACTGCGAATTTATAGTGAGATCTATATGGAGTCTGTGTCTATCTGAACTAGTTATTTGCCAATTACCTTGCTTGTTTAGCATTGTCGAATTTGCATATAATGGATATTAGATTTCTTGTAATCTTGGTGACACGGAATCTAATTATCAATATTGCAACAATCCCTTGATTTTGTCTGAAAATTCTCATATAATTGGCTATTAAATTTCTTCTAAATCTTGGTGACATGGAATGTCATTGTCATATATGAATTCTCTGTCTAGCTCACTTGATAATTCTAAACATAAAGGTTTTCTCTCTCCTCATCTCAGGGGTAGCAGCTTCAGAGGTTCGACTCTTGTGTGATCTTGAGCAGCCTGAACCCACATGGTAAGAAATTGAGTTTGTTCTGCTAGGTGTTCTAATAATGGACTCTGTATATTCAGTGTGTATTTAAGGTTAGATAATGCTTAGGACTGTCCGACACATTGGTGGTGCAATGAGAGGTGCTGGTGCTGAGCAAATTCCGGTGTTGGTGAGGACTTTGAATGAGAGTAAAGTAAGCAAGAATGCACTCCGCTTTTTTTACTCACTAGGCTACAAGTTAGACCATGAGCTGCTGAGGGTGGGATTTGCCTTCCATTTCCAAAAGGGAGCCCAAATAACCGTTACAGTGTCTTCAGTTAATAAAATGCTGAAACTGCATGCAACAGATGAAGCTGTGCCTGTAACACCTGGTATACAGCTGGTCGAAGTGACAGCGCCTGCGTCATCTGAGAACTACACTGAGGTTGTGGTTGCTGTATCATCGTTTTGTGAATATCTTGCACCGTAAGTACCTTCGTATTATTTCATTTTCCTGCTTGTAAATTTACCTTAGCTCGTAGATTCAGAATTTCAAGTCCTCTTTAAGTTAGGAGTTCACATGTAGTCCTCAAAGGGAACAGAAAATTCTCAGAGATCTTGACAGTATCCTGCTTAGCCTTGTAAATATAGAATGTTATACCTGAATATGTTCAATGGCTGATACTATTTGTGAACTAGTTTGAATATTGCTAACAAATGGCTCAATTGATAATGTAGACATTAGTCACTTGCTGACCTATGTGAATTACACGCATTAAAAATTTATAGTATATAGAAGGCATATTTAATTATGGGCATCTTAAGTGCTACCCCTTGGTGGTTTCTGATTTTTTGGCTGTGACATTGTTGCAACTAGATTATTTTCCTCTTTTATTGACCTTATTGTAATTTATTGAATTTTTACGTATTGTGGAGACTCATCAAAGTCAATTTCACTTTCAGGCTACTCCATCTGTCAAAACCTGGTGTCTCAACGGGCGTCGTTCCTACTGCTGCTGCAGCTGCTGCCTCTCTGATGTCAGATGGTGGAGGCACAACATTATAGCGGAGTTTGTAAGAGTTGCAAGATAGTAACAACTGTTCATAATGGTACAATGTTTATTCCTCTTTACTTTGCCTGCTTTGAAGCTCATTTCGTGTCCTCTGACCGCTTAAGAACCACGTGTGAGGGCACACCCCTTACTTTATTTTTAATTACTTTTCCTTATTCAGGTTGGATGGGGATGGGGATGGGCTTGGAAAGGAAGTGGTTTGGCATATCCACCTATCATGTGGCCTTTTACAATACCAAACAAATCATAGGATGTTTATTGTATTGGTTTCAGTCTAATTGATTAATAACTATTTATTTAACTTAGCTGAATTATGCCTATACTCAGAAAAGCACGTCATTTGGGTGCTGTCATTTAGATGTTGGAGGCCTAAAAGGCATGGAAGAATGCTATGATGCCTGAACTCATTGAAATAGTTGGAGTACCCCATGTCGGACACACTCGATATGACATGGGTATGGGATGTCTCGGATCCTTAAGTTCCAACAGGACATTTCATCTTTTTTCATCTCCTTTTCTTCTTTCTTTCTTTTTTTTACTTCTTTTCTTTCCTATTTATGCTCTCTATAAATTTAGTGTCGCCGTCAAGAAGGTGGAGAAAGGCGAGGACGCTAGGTTTTTCCTTCTTTTTTCCTTTTCCTTTTCCTTTTTCTTTCCATTTCCATTTTCTTCTTCTTCTTCTTTTTTTTTTTTTTTTTTTTTTTTTTTTCTTTTTTTTTTTTTTTTTTTTTTTTTTTTTTTTTTTTTTTTTTTTCCCCTCTTTGTATCGGTGGTTTAGAGTTTTGTTTGTATAAAATGAAAATGGATTCCATATTGTGCTACTAAGTTCAAATTGCAATCAAATCCATTATTTTCTATTTTATACAATGTTTAGTAATTTTCATAATTGAACACTAAACTTCAAAATTATATTTTATTTGTCTTAATCCCATATTTAATACTCATTTTCTTGTTTGTGAATAAATAATTTTGGTATATTCAAAATGACATTTTAGATTAGTAAAAAAAGTGAAGTTTGAAAGATGTATCCACATATCCGTGTTCAAAATCTGGACTCTTTTAAGCCATGTTTCGGTATCCTACATTTTAAAAAATAAAAGATCCGACACTTAGATACATACCGGTACTCGATAATCGTACCTGAGTCCGAGCAACGTAGGAAGAATGTTTGGAAAAATCTTATTGGTTACAGGAATTTAACCTTGTATTAGGAATCTACTACATATACTAACAAAAATACCTGTTTATATGAAAAGTTTATTCAGATTCCAGACCTAGAAACAACAATTCTGAATTTGCAATGATATAAGATGATCGTATTTAGAGAAAAATACTTAACCTGTTATGTGTATTGATATAGGAGTTGATCAAATCGTTGATTGTCGATTCAAAGCTTTAGGAGACCATGCTATGTTAATAGGTACTGTAATTGTGATGTGGTGGAATCAAGTAGTAGATTAACATTCCAAAACTCGTTGATTCAATGTGTGAATACTGAGAATTGGACAAACTATAGAGAATAATTCTCAATATATTATTGCAATGTCAAAACAATCAAAAAGTGAGCTTGATTGTGAGCATGGAAAGAAAATAAATTCTGGGGCAATTTAGTTGACTAGAGTTTATTTGTATGAAAATTATTAATTAAATGTGTTTATTTGATATAGTTTTTAACCTAAAAAATATTATACTTATCAATTTTTTATTGGTGAGTAGATGAGATGGAATATATGAGAGAGAATTTCACGGAAAATAAAAGCTAAATCTCCTTAAAGATAATGTTTTATTTGTTTTTTAGAAAAATATGGTCACATGATTAAAAGTTCGAAAATATTTTTCATGAAACAAAATTGTTAATCAAACATCCTAAGAGTAGGAATTTGGGTAGAAAAATAACATTTTTCATGGAAAATAATGGTAATCAAACACACCTAATTGGCAAAGTTAAATAGTGTGCACCTCTGCTCTCTGATGCTTGGACTCTTGGAAATAGTCAGAACACCTGTGTCGGACACGACACGATATGGGTATGTGATATGTGTTGAATCCTACAAGTTTCAATCGGACACTTCGTTATTTTTGCTTTTCTTCTTTTTTCCTTTTTTTTCCTTTCCTTTTCTTTCCCGTTTTCGCTCTCTATACACCTAATGTTGCAATAGAGAGGGTGGAAAAAGGTAGTGGGGCTAAGTTTTTCCTTTCTTTTTCTTATTTTTTTTCCTTCCATTTCCTTTTTCTGTTCCTTCTTTCCTTCTCTGTATCGGTGATTTAGGATTTTGTTTGTATAAAATGAAAATAGATTCCATATAGTGATACTTAGTTCTCTGCTAAGTCCAAAATGCATTCAAGTCCATTATTTGCTATTTTATATAATATTTAGTAATGCTCATACTTGAAAACTAAACTCTAAAATTCTATTTTATTTGTCTTAACTCCGTATTCGATATCCATTTATTTCTTTGTGAATAATTTATTTTGGTCTATTTAAAATAACATCTTGGATTAGTAAAAAAATTAAAATTTGAAAGACGTACCACGTACTCGTGTCCGAAATTTGGACCTTTTTTAGCCATATTCCCATATCCTATAGTTTAAAAGATAAAAGATCCGATACTTAGATACGTACCTGTATCCGATACTCGTATCCTAATCAGAGCACCATAGCCTCTACCCCCTTATCTCTTCTAAAAGTAATTGTTAGGATATTTGGCACAATACTCCCTAACGTTTGCCATATTTTGTGGAATACCCAATAATCTTTTATTTTGGCGTAAAACCTCCTTAAATCACCCAAACTTTGCAGAAAACCCCATGTTGTCCGCATCTATTAATTTCTCCATTAAAATGGATTTTTAAAGTCAAAATGGATTTTTAAGGCCAAAATGAATATCTATATAAAACAAGAATTTCTTGAGTGGGTTTTATTTTGGGATATGAAAATGGAAGAAATTTAAAGCTAATTTAATCGGAGAAATTGGATTTTCTTGCATTACTAGATTGGGTATGATTTCAGGGAGAGATTGTTTTTATTTTCATTTCCCCATTTCAGATGAATTAACTTGACTCTTTTAAAGTTTAGTGTCAGTGAAATAACTATGATTGAGCCCGACCTTCTTTAAGAGGACCAAATTGTTGCAATTGATTTTTATGTTGATTTTTTACGAATGGATATTCTAAATTTTATTCAGAGATGGTTATAAAACGGGTTTCTACACAAGTATATTTCTGTATAACTATTGCTTCATTTTAGTTGTGTGCTTCTATAAGATTTTTAAGGCATATGCTTCATCAGTTCCATTTGTCCTGAGAATATATTTGACTGGTCTCTCTAACAATCAGGTTTTGCTGTTGGTTTGAAATTGGGGTGTGTATCTATATTGAGAAAGAAGACCGAGTTAATTGTTCAAATGTTTGTGCAAATCAACCCTGGAATTGGTAAACGTTGCGTAATACAACCCTGGAGTTGATAAACTTCACTAAATATAACCCCGAAGTTTACAATCCCCAAATGGGTGAACGTTGCGAAATACAATCTTGGAGTTGATAAACTTCACAGAATATAACCCCGAAATTGGTAAACTTTGTGAAATACAATCCCCAAATCAACCCTGGAATTGGTAAACGTTGTGTAATACAACCCTGAAGTTGATGAACTTCACAGATTATAACCCCGAAATTGGTAAACTTTGCGAAATACAATCCCCCAAATGGGTAAACTTTGCACAAATCAGAACGGCAAAAGCAACTATCAAAACATTAATTCTCCATCCAAATCGGTGAATCCTTGCTTCACCACAAAATAGAACTTAACACTAACATAGTAGACGTTAACAAATAGCAATTGTATAAAGGGAAAAAATTCAATATTATCAACTCCCCAGTTATTTTATAAACTCACATCAAACATAAACTTATTGATCTGAGCACTGATCCGAAAACGTGAATATTCAACGTACCTATGCGAAATTTTCTGTACAATGGTTTGTGGAGACTTCTTGTGTATAAAGATGTGAAAATTGTGTGATGATTTTGAATTTTTTTGTTGGATTATTAAGGTTTCTACATTGATTTCTCTCCTACTGTCTTTTAAACAAACACGATCTTAAGTAAATATGTGGAGATGATGACACAAAAATGCCCTTAATGTTTTTATTCATTTTGGCCTTCAAAATCCCTTTCAATGGAGAAAGTAACAAAAGAGGATAGAAGGGGGTCTTATTCGACGTTTGGGTGATTTAGGGGGTATTGCGCCAAAATAAAAGGTTATCAGGGTATTCCACAAAACAAGAAAATGTGAGGGAGGGGCATTATGTCAATTAACTTTTAATTAAATATCAAAACAACTAAGCCTCTATTTGGGCTTCGTTTTTTCCAAAAACATGGGCTCGTTTGATAGGGATTTTGAGAATTGATTTTTTGACCGTTAGAAGAAAAGTGGGGTCCACATGTAAGAGAAAAAGTCAAAAATTACGGCTTGAATAGTAAAATAACGGTCAAAAAATCAATTTTTTGGGGCAAAAAATCCCTACCAAACGGGGCCACAGTTTTTCAAAATTCATTTTCAACTATACATTCTTTCATAAAATAATATTTTACATAAACTCGAAACTTTTCCTTATTTTTTTAACTACATTCTTAAACAAATCACTATTCCAAAACATATTTTTCCTCAAAACTTTGTTTTAATGGAGCCCAAGGGCTAAATAGAAACAATAATATTGGAAATACAAAATAAAATAAAATTATCTAGCCTAAATCGTATTTTATCTTCACCATTTTCGTTGTGTAGTCGAGGATCCTCGAATCTTACAATGTATCTTCATCCAGAATCTTGCATGAACAACTTCCTGGTTTTAAATAAAGGAAAACATCTTCGTTGCCTCGACCATTTGATAGCTAAATTTTGATAGAATACCAGTTCTGACAAGTACAAAGGCAAACGTTTACTCAAAAAACTTCTTCTCACCCAATCGAAATATGGGAGACATCATTGAGAATTTAAAGCCTACCATTGCACCTCTCAGTGAAAATTGGGTGCCATCATAACCGTTGTCATTGAAAATCCTGTGTCTCAATGTCAAAAATGGGTGGACCATAGTAATCCTCTCTTGCATTAATACCCATCTGCTTTCTTGAATTGAAAGAGGTAAAAAGGTTATTGTCACCATTGAAGTCCTTTGCCGACTCGTCAAACCATCGTGATTGAAAATTGTTAATCATCTGCTTCAACACGTCCTTTTTCGAAGCAATTTTTTTGATTTCTACCGATTGTTTCAACGCCATCACTTGTAGAAAACAGGGTTGTGTTAACACATCGGGTCGCATGATTTTCATTATCAGGGTTTTTACGAATACC